TATATAAGAATAGTTTTCAACACTATTAAGACAAAGCAGCATTTATTTTTTAACAAATCTACACCCCTGCATTTCTTCACAACTTTTCCCCTCATTAAAAAAGTAGTACCTGCTCACTACAGAAAACTAGAAAAATATTGAACATGGAAAAAAGTTATTTATAGTCAGTCTAAAATTGAAGCATGGCTAAGATACTGGAATATTTTCCTTTCGAAACTTTTGTCTTGCTAATTGTAAAAAATATAGTGCATGTTCATTCTACAAACATTTATTGAAGACTTTTGCACTAGATATTTTGTGAGATACTAAGGCAGGCTCTCATTTTATAGTGAATAAAACAGATAAATCCTACCCTCATTTACATTTTATCATAACCTTTTTTTGTATTTTGCCTACTACTCCCAAATATTTTAATAGCTACATATTTTATTGTGTGGGTGAATCAGTTTGAATAATCATTTTTCTATCACTGGACATTTCTAATTTTTCAATGTTATTTTTCCTACATTTAGAATGTTTCCTTAAGATAAATTTCCTGAAATGGAGAAATTTGGTCAATGGGTATGACATTTAAGGCTCTTGATAAAACTTCCAAACTGGTTTTTCAAAAGGGTTGTACCAATTTTCACTGCCAAAGGAAATGAGCAAAAGGAATTTTTAAAAAAACCAATTTGTAAGCAATGATTATAATCACTAAACATTGTTTTCATATTTTGATAGGTGTCTCATTTTAAGTTTCCTTTTTTGATAACTAGCAAGGCTGAATTTGTTTATAATGATAAATAAATATTTCTTTAAAACGTTTTCAGCTCACGCCTTCTGCTCTAATAAGGTGCTTATGGTTTTGTTTCATGTGTACAAGCTCTTTATAAAGACATGAGCCTTTTTTGGTATTTACCCTCCTTCAGTGTTCTCTCAAAGGAGAAACTCAGGAAATAATCACTGAGTTATGTGGTCTTTGAAGCCAAATCAAGGCTTAACCACCTTTCCATCTCCAGGGCCCAGCATGTCTCCCCACGTGATGTAATGGAGGCACACCTAGATGTCAAGCAGTGCACTGGACTTTGGGATCCAAAGACATAATGGCAAACACAGCTTTGTAAACTAAGGATGGGCCAAGAAATATCTTTCTAGTAAACCAATTCAGTTTTTATGGATAAAAAGAGAAAATTACATAGCCAGGCAACAAAAGGATACAAGTAATTGGAAAGTATTAGAAACAGAAAAAAAAGAAGGGGGTGAACTGAAGGGATATTGAAAAAAGTTACTAAATAGAGGGAAACAAACAAAACACCCTAAAACCAACAAAATAAATTAGTAAGTAGTTGGTTCTATGTCAATTATGTGTGAGGTATGCTGAGGAACATGGTGGGTGAGTTAAGATCTGCATCTTAGCTTACATAATCACTTAATTCAGAAACTTCAACTCAATGATCTCTCCTGTATAATTCTTGGTTAAATACATCCATGTTTATGTACATAAATACCCATTGAAAGGCTCAGGAAAAAACAGCTTCCAAACTAGGGAGGTACAAAGGATTCTGGGGACTGTCTTGTCGTCCCTTATAATGAGTGTTCTCTTTTGGTTATAATATTTGGTGGACAAGGAAACAGGAGATATGGTAATATCTGTGGCAACTGGATTCAATATCTTTTTTTTTAGGCTTTGCCCCTCTACAGAAACATTTTTTAATTAAATATTTTATGGAATAATCACATTGGATCAAATTTGTATGCTAGAGAAGTCTCTATAAAACATGATCCCTAATTTTTTTTTTTTTTTTTTTGAGTTGGAGTCTCACTCTGTTGCCCAGGCTGAAGTACAGTGGCACACTCACGGCCACCACACCCTTGACCTACTGGGCTCAAGCAATCCTTCTGCCTCAGCCTACCAAGTAGCTGGAACCACAAATGCATCACCACACCCGGCTGATTTTTTGATCTTTATTGTAGAGACAAGATCTTACCAAGTTGCTCAGGCTGGTTTTGAACCCCTGGGGTCAGGCAATTCTCTTGCCTCCACCTTCCAAAGTACTGGGATTACAGGAATGAGCCACTATGTCCAGCTCTCATCCCTAATTTCAAGGATAAATGTGGTACAAACAAGAGAGAGAGATAAAACAATTATAAAGCAGGCTGTCCTATGAGGAAGAACTTCACATTAGAAACAAATTGATAACATACAAATTGCTTCTGGTCAAGGTGGTGATGTCATTTGATTCTGGAGGGGAGCTGTAAACTGGAAAGAATTTTTTTAAACAATCCCTTTAGTCAGCAGAATGAAGACAGCTAGGTATCTCATATTATGGAGGTAGGCCACTACTCCCCTTCTTTATGGAGCCATTCATTCTCTTTCTGGTGACTTTAACAATATGGTATTATTTATGGAACACCTATTATATTCTAGGTATTTTGCCAAGAGCATGATCTATATAATCTATATTATCACTGGCCCTATTGATCCCTTCAGGCCCAATCAAATGGTTTCTCCTTTGATCTATTCCCCACAGCCCTCAGCTCCAAGCTGAATTAATTATTCCACACTGATGATTAATTGATGATTAATAATTATATCATAATTATATTAAATTATATTAATAATGCTCTATTCTCATTTGGTTTACTCCTTTAATGCAGCACTTCTCATTCTGTCGGCTACATTTCTGGCTGTCCCAGTACACACTGATCTTGGTAAGAGCACGAGGCATGTTCCACTCCAATTTCCCTAACGCTTAGCAGTTCCTAAATACTCTGGAGGGTGAAACCCTATGACTTTTTTTTTTTTTTTTGAGTCAGAGTCTCACTCTGTCACCCAGGCTGGAGCGCAGTGGCATGGTCACGGCCACCGCAGCCTGGACCTGCTGGGCTTAGGCGAACCTTCCGCTTCAGCCTTCTAAGTAGCTGGAACTACAGACATGTGCCACCATGTCCAGCTAATTTTTTTTGATTTATTGTAGAGATGAGGTCTCACCAAGTTGCCCAGGCTGGTCTTTAACCCTGGGCTCAGGCAATCCTCTCACCTCCACCTCCCAAAGTTCTGGGATTGCGGGCGTGAGCCACTGTGCCTGGTGTCCCTACGGCTTTAAAGTCACCAAAGAATCATGGCATTTTTGAACAGGAGAGGACTTAGAAACTTTGGTACAAGCTTATTTTACACAGGAGAAAAATTAAGTTAAAACAAGTAATTTGCCTGAGGTCAGATAAACTTGGTAGAATTGAGGATTAGAATCCAGACCCTTTGCTTTTCAGCCAAATACTATTTCTTCTATAAAAGGTGCTACCAAAACACAACTAAATCTCTTTATCTCCCAATCTCCTGACCCACTCAAATCCTATCAGCAATCAGCCTTTGGGCCTATGGGCTATTTCTCTGATATTAAACTTCCTAAAAAAAAGTCACTTTTAACATCAGACTTTTTTACAACTCCCCAAACAAAGCAAAGCTCAAACTCCAAATCGCCTGGCTTTTGCTGTAGCATCAAATAACGTAAAGCTGGGGGAACCGTCTGCTTTTATTTTCACTAACAGGCTTTTCTGACAAGAACCCTTTCTTCCAGCAAAATCGAAATGCTTGTCCACAGAGACCATGCTCTTTCTGGAGACATGAAACATCCTTTCTGTTCATTCTGAGTGGACTATCCTTATTTCTATGAATCTGGTGGACTTTTATGAATTGTTAACCTTTTGGACAGGGAGCTCCTAGCACAGAGTAGACAGACCTGGTTTTGGTCACACAATTGAGTGTGTCCTGCACCTGGAAGCATACAGCCCTCAAGAAAGTTTACTGAATGACTGTGTCTTTGGAAAATTACAGAAACATAACTTACTCTTCAGAGTTGTGAGTGACCCTTCACCAAAACTTTTCTCATTGGAGGAAAAAGAAGTAAATATGCTGGTTCACTTAGTCTTTTCTTCTTTCTCCATTCTGGTGCATCTGTTTTGACTCTGTCATTCTCTCTCTCCCTCTGTGAACTCCACATTCTCCCAGCACCCCTGCCCCTGAACAGTTGTGGGAGAGGAATCCACAAATTCCTTCGAGGCTCCATCATTGGAACACGTTCTCAATAGCTGAAGAAGTCTGGGCTGCAAACAGGAAGTTTTTGTACTCTGGCTACTTTGTGCCTGGGGCAAAAACTGCAGAATCCACCTGGAGACTCTGCAAAAATAATGAGTAGAGCAAACAAAATTAACCTTCATTATCCCCATCTGAAGCTTTTCTGGGTGGACATTCAAACCCAACATCACTCAGGGCTTCTCTTTCCAGAACTGGATCCTCATGTGCAGGACAGAACGGCCCCACATAAAACCGTCATGATTTAGCTCCTGCCTTCCCACCCCCCAAACGCTTCTCCTCCACTTTTTACAATCTTGTGCGGGACATTTAAACAACTGTTTTGGATTTTTTTAAGCTTTCAAAGCACCCGAAGGAGAGTCCCCTTTGGCGGCGACAGTTGTAGGCTGGTCCCCTAGTCTCCAGATCCTTCTCACTTGTTTAATGCCCAAGACCCTATTCTGCCCCTTCCTTCGGCTCACTCGAGGGGCAAGAGGCAGCCCTCCTCCGCCTGCCTGCCTGGCCTCGCCAACAACACCCAGGAGTCCCAGTCTCCCGGGGCAGCAGGGGACTCCCAACCTCGTGCCCGGGCCCTGGCCCAGGTACTGGGGCCCCGGGTCCGCGGCTGCCCCCGCGCAGACGGCCGGGAGGCAGCCAGCCCCGGGGAC